TATGACAGAAATTCTCATGCAGCGTCTTAGGTGGAGAATCGATGAACTATTAGACGTGAAAAAATGACATGTTGACTACCCAATTTATTCTTGCGTGCCATTTCGTTAATATTCGTTAAATGTTAGTGCTGTGATATGTGACGTGTTCATGAAACCTGTAAAATTATCCGAAACTAAGATTAGCAGGGAAAGCCCAACGTAGAAGGAGTATTTTCTACTCATACAGACAGCTGTCAACCGTGTGTTTTCTCGCATAATTAGGCTTCGCTTCACGGTTGATTTAACGATTGTTTATAACCTGTCAAGGAAAAAGCATAGTTTTCGGACAATTTTACAGGTGTCTTAAAGCGATCTAGAGTGTTACTTTGTTAAATTATCATTTTATTTAGAAATGGCACGCAAGAATTCTCGGCGTGTCATTTCTCGCTTCTGACGTCACGAATCTAATATGGCTGCGGTGACTACCCAGGAGCCTTAAGCCGATTCGGCTCGAACGAGAAAATCGTTCATAATCGGCATTCGGTATCATTTGTCACTTAATCTCACAACACGGCAAACTAAAAGTCAGGCAAATTTAATGTTAAAGCAAGAATGCATTGCTATCACGTTGCATCACTTGTTATTTTTCGATTCTTCGCGATAAAAGTTATTTATCGGCATTATAAACACGTAAAATCAACGAAGCGAAGAAACAAAACAGCTAAAAGACCATACTAACAATTAGGCGCTATTTATTAATGCTAAATACGAACGTAAAACTAATCCTTTATTTATATCAAATTTAAAGAGCGTAAAACTCTCACCGAACTCTCGCCGAACAATGGCGTTTACCCTTAAACGCATGCCGTGAAGAAGCTGAGTCTCCATAGGTTAATGACGTCGTGAATGCAACGAGAAAGGCTCTTTTCGCGGCACCGTAAATCCTCGCTCGATCGTTTGCATAACGGCGTAGCTTTTTACATTCGACACCGCAAAACAGACGAACCGTAAAACCGCGACCCCTCTTAGTAAAAAAGAATCAAGAGAAAGAAAACAGTATCGACGATAATATTGGCACGATCAGCGTGCTGATTTATTCGTCTGGAATGTCGCGCAATACATCAAAGGAATTGTCTCCATGTCACAATGAAAGCGTCTATACTTTGCACGCTCCGATTTCTTGTGTTGTATGTACGAGAGCAGAAACCGTGAATTCGTGGAAAACAAAAAAACCTCGAAAAACTCTAAAGAAATATTCTTATTTCAGAATAAACTATTTCTTTGTAACTCAAAACTTTCAATTTAGAGTTTCTTCGACAAAGTAATTCAATATCGAAACAAAATTTTCTAATTACATTCCTTCATACTGTAAAATATATTTATTTTTTTTTTTAAATCATATTTCTTAAGGATGTTTAGTACCTATTTTTAAAATATTAGGAATTTAACAAAAATTTTACAGATTGTTCTTACATATGTTCGGAGATTTGTGACAAAATCCGGAGTCGATTTACTGAAGCAATCAAAAGTTATAAGAATTTTAATTTGCAACGAATTTACCCGTGACTTTATGGAAAACGCGTAACCGTGTTGATTTAAGTGGCTAAAATAGATAGAAAAAAATTTTTTTTGTTGAAGTTTCTTTTCATACACTTTTTTGGTCACTATTTTTCCTTTCCATCGATAAGGGCCTACTTTTGGCATTATGGATAAACACAACTAACCTTTATCCGCACGTCAAGCATAATTCAGAAAATTCGAAAATTCTCAGAAAAAAAACAACAGAAATTTAAAAGTACATTTCTGCACTCTACTTATGAATAAATGATAAGATTCTGTGCAATCTTTATTACTCAAACTATATGAGAAGAGCATATATTCATCAAAATCAAATTTCAGCAACTTTTTGCTACGATTGTACGTACAAAACATCCTTAAATAATTTCTATAAAAAAAATATCATTACACATAATTGTAAAAGACAAGCACATATTCATTACAAAAATATCGCATATATAAAGCTTCTTGATAAATATTCTTGATAAATATAAGATTCTAAAGAAGATTCCGAAAGAAGATAGCACAACATATCATAAAAATAGTAAGCAGAATTTTATGTTAATGAAGAAAAAGCAAAATGTCAATTGAAAATTCGATGATTGCAATAGCTGAAATTTGAAAGAGAAAAGAGAGAATAAAAGATTCATAAACATATATACGGATATGGACGAATCTTTGATATTATTACAAAACATGCTCGCAAACCTTCTTTTTTAGATCTGCAACATTTTTTTTATTGACAGCACAATGGAAATAAAAACATAACAATTGATATAAAAAAATTGCACATAGAAAAAGTTGGAGTGGAATTCTATTATCACATACGAAGAATAGTTATCCACTGAATTTTTAAAGGATAATTTACACTGAAATAATTTTATTTCACGACAATTTCATTCATTATCAGTCAACAATAATGATCGTCTGATAAAATTATTATATTTAAGCCAACAGTGAGCATGCACATATTGTGATCGACAGGCACCATCTGAAGTCAGTACGTCGCATTTAATACCGATACATAGGAGGCTGATGCTCTCATAATCTGAAAAGGTGCGCGTAAATAATGCAGTTTAATAAAAGTAAAAGTGCTACATATCGAAGAAAACTGAGAAGTGTTTATGTAGCATAAGACGCCTTACGCTTGTAAATCCTTCCAAAGTTAAATCAACGACTTTTCCTGCAGTAATAGTCAATCGCTTTTGCGATCGTAGCAACATGAATAACAAAATGCGACTGTCGGTTGGCGGCATGTTATACCAAAACGACTCATACACTGCATCGTTAATCGTCTTACTCTAAGAACAGGATAATATTTCATTTCAAATTGCAGATACAAACTCACGAACATTTTTTAATACACTTTTAAAATTTTAATTAGAAAAATTTTTTATGTTTATGCATTTTTATTTTTTATGAGTTCTTTTTTTTGTTTAAAACATGATAAAAAGATAAATAACCGCAATGAGTGCTTTGGATATACGAAGAACTCCTTTACAAACCTTGGCGCTCAAAAATTCTCCTACAAAGCAGAGTATAAAAACTTCTAGAGTTATTGCGATATAAAAACTTATAGACTTAATCAAAGTTGTCGCACCTTCGTCGGCACGAATGGTCTGCAATAAAACAAAGGAAAGATATTCTTCGTCGAAAATGCGAGGCAACAGCCTGCCGTTACTCACAATTACAATAACAAAACCAGTGCAGCAGATAACTAAAGTATTCCACAAGAGCTGCATCAGCGCGATATAACAAAATAAACTTTCGATGTTCTCCGATAAAGTAATGATTTTCTGATGCCTGTGAATGAGACCTTTGATGACAATTAAGGATGTGCTGGAATCATATTTACTGTTAGAAATTTCATTTAAGTCCTGTCGCATAATATCAATTTGACCGCTTACGTGGAGCACCTATAAAAATATGAAATCAAGTATCAATAAAAATTAATTAATATTATTTGAAAATAATTAATACCACATCGTATTTTATTATTAATTAGAAACTCGATTATATCGAACAAAAATGACAGAATATCTATTTTGTTATGAGGAATTGAATATAAAACGAAAATTAATTATCATACATATAAGAAAATATTTTTGCAAAGTCATAAACTTACGAATGACACGAGCAACGCATTCACCATACCAACCACAGAAGCCAGCAGCAATTCGTAGAGGAATTGCCCCGCCAAAAAGCACTCGAATACCGGCGATTTGCTGACATCGAACGGGAACTCCATTTTTATAGGGAGCTGCCGAGAATTATTGTCCACGCGATCGGCGTCGTTCATCGACTGGAGCAGATGCTCGCCGATCGAAAGGAAAAAAGCAGCCAAGGCGTTGATGCTGATCATCACGTTGGTGCAGCGATGCGACAGATCCGCCACGCTCATCATCGTCGATGTGTACGAATCGTTGATGACGCAGTCTTTCCAGTCACGATTCATCGTCGTCAAGATGTAAGAGAATGTCCTGCAGGAAGCAGCTTGTATATCGAGCATTGTACACATTAATAAATTTCTTATAAATTGCTTAGTAATTGCTTAATAAAGGAGCCGTCCTGACTTTCGTATTTGTCTGTTCTAAGTCACTTCTGCAACGGAACGCGTCTTACCGGCGTTTCCACCACAGAACAAACAGCTTGACAAAGGCGAGGGTGTACGCCAAGGTAAGACCAAGACAGTCCATGAGAAGCGGAATGTCGCTCAAGTCGAAATGCGCGAGAACGTACGCATACTGGAAATACTGCACTATCACCATCGTCGTCATGTAGATTAACCAACAGAAAGTCGAGTAAGCCGAATCCGGCCACATGCCGATGAAACGAAAGACAATCTCGATAGGACGGCTGATGGTGCTTGTGCGTTTCATCGCTCCGCGACAATCGCTGAACATTTCGAATCGGCTATCGAGATGTCAATGCACCAAAGCGCTTAAGAAACTTCATTCGACGAGGCGCACATGTGCGTCGTTCGCTGAATAATCGTAGAAAGAACGACAAAGCGCAGGTCTTTCTGAACATCGATCAGTCGTAATTATACGTCGACGATTTCAATCTCATTACTTCTTGAAAACTTATAAGTATACCGAATGAAAAACAGGTAGTTACCTTATCGTCTCTTCTGAAAAAAGCGCATTTGATGTCGTTTAATAGTGCATAATTGTTTCAGAAATAAACATTTCTAAACCCGAAGATTATTTCTATGCGCTTCTATCCAACAGAAAAAAAGCTTTGCACGATATCTTCAAACAAAATCTTAATGTCCATGGGCAGAAAACAAAGGTAGTATTGGAAGGAAAAGTACAGAAAGCGTCCAATGCACGGAGAAGGATTGTTACTATCTACGGTAACGTCTTATATTAAATATATAAATAATACTATTTTTTTCATACACATTTACGTACATGAACACACAGCAGACATAAAAATTTATATCAATATATATGTATTTTCTATTTAACGATATCGAACATTTGGCTAAAACTATCCCTGCCATATATTACATAGGAGCTACGACATTCTTGTGTATACGGAATACCTTTCTCGCAGAATATCCATTTAAACGACGTAAAAAATAAATTTAACTCGGCCTTCCGTTTTAATAAAGAACTCACCTTTCCTTAAGCGTGATCTTTTGTGCTTCTTTAATACAACGCACGCAACACGGATATGTACGACGCAGACGATTTCATAATCTGAAGTAATCAAGTATTTTAATTGCTTTTAGTTCCGCTTCAGCGCAGTCGGCAAGAATTTCTGCGCAATTCACGTAAACTTACGGTCGTGAAACCTTCCAAGGACAAATCCGTCATCTTGCCCGCAGTGATGGTCAGTCGTTTCTGCGACCTTAGCATCAGGAACATTAAGACCCGGCACTCGCTGGGCGTCAGATCGTACCAGAAACACTCGTATGCTGCGTCACTGATGGATTTACTCTGCAATGGTAATGAGCTTCCACGATGAATCACGTCTAATTACGCTTCTTTCAGATATCAACGCGGAACTTGAAAAATTCTACGACGCTACCATTACGCTTCCTTGCGCTGACCTTAGCGCTGAGATATTCCCCGGCATAGCAGAAGACGAACGCCTCGAGAGTTATCGCGACGTAAAAGATGAGAGACTTCGTTATCACCGTGGCGCCTTCATCCGTGCCGACGGACTGCAATGCGAAAATATATATAGCATTGCATAAATTTGTCGGTCATAAATTTATATCCATTGAAGTATATATATATCTATGTGCTTTGCAGTTCTTTTTTTTTTTATTATATCGTAATATCTTGTTAGTTATATATATATAAAAGAATCAAAACTCACTATTACAATTAAAAAGCCTATGCAACAGATGACCAAAGTGTTCCAGATAAATTGCAACAGTGCGATATTTGAAAAGAGATCTTCAATATTGTCTGATAGATCGATAATTCTTTGATGTCTGTTAATCAAAATTTTGATAGCGGCCAGAGAAGCTTCAGGTGTATTTTTCTCGGGAGAGATTTCTAACAATCCCTTCCGCATGATATCAATCTGACCACTTACGTGTAGAACCTAAAAAGTCCGATAGACTCTTATAGACATCTTAACTAGAATTTTTGTGAAAAATCAAGAAAATCGATTTTTAAAATACATTTGTATCTGAACATAAAAAATTGCAATATTCGCAGAAACTCATAATTCATTTCTAATATCATTAAAACAACAACAAAGATGAATATTTTTATAATAAAAAAAATAATAATCAAAAACATTGCAAAATTAAAGATTCAATTCTAGATTTTAAATATAATTTCAAGAAAATATCAAAACTTACCAGCGTGACGAGTAAAGCGTTCAGCATAGCAATGATACAAGCTACCGATAGATCATGAAACAACTGGATTACCAATACCAATTCAAAAATCGGAGAGTTATCAACGTTAAAAGGAAATTCCATTTTGATGGGTAACTCGCGAGTCGTAGTTTCTTGATTACTCTTGTTAATTATCGATCGAAGTATCGGTCCGCCGATCGTGTAGAAGAACACGGCCAACGCGTTCGTCGTGATCATGATATTGGAGCATTGACGAGACAGATTGGCGTGTCTGATCATCGTGGATACGTCCGATTGGATTCCGTCGCTCCAATCTTTGTCCATCGTGTCCAAAATGACGTACAACTTTCTGCGAAACGTTCCTCGCATTCAGTATCGTTCGCGCGAGACGAAAACGGTATCAAAACGACTTTCCACTAATGCAAAATACAGTTTGCTCCAGGAAAGGTATCTTACCGGCGATTGAACCAGAGATTGATCAGTTTAAGGAATGACAGGCTATAGCCCAACGTGATGCTCAGACCGTCTATGGTGACCGAGAGATCCTTCATGTCGAAGTGTGCTAAAATATATGAATATTGAAAATATTGCACTACTGCCACCGACACGATGTAAGTCCACCAGTTAATGTTCGCGTATATGCAACGGGGCCACATTCCGATAAAACGCAGACCCGCTTCAACCGACTCGCTGATTGTGCTTGCGCGGCCCATTGTACTTTTGCCTAATCCCGACATGATTTTCTTCGTCGGAGAGACCACGTCTCTGCACACCAGCCACGCGAATCTCGTCGGCGCAATAATGTCGGATGTGCGGCAAAAAATAGAGAAGGGTGGGGATGAAACTGACAACAATGAGACATCGATCAATCGCAATTACTCGTACTTTGTAGAAACGATGGACGTTTGCCAATTTGCTGTATTATAGACTTCGAAAGAAAATGAGATGTGGATAAAAAAACTTGGTTTTTTTTTGCCAGCTTCAGAACGTCAAGTTTTTTTGTTCATAAAGTCGCAAGTCATTTGCTTTAAAAATGCACAAAGCTATCTAACTGCTCGGCGTTCGCTGAGCAAAAAATTAAATATACTGAGACGTGAAGCGAACATCGAGGTAAGGATGAGCAAAAATGTAATGCAAATGGACGGCATGCTGGTTGTAATTCTGTAGACTGAGACTCTTCTGCCAACCATTGCTTTTACTTGAAAAAAACGGCGAGTATAAATATAAGTTATTAAATTATTTTTTGATATCAATATCACACACACGCACAAAGAGATCTATCTACATGCAAATACAGTCCTGAAAACCTAAGTTTTTTATTACAAACTGCGGAAGGTAAATTGATACCTCAGTCTACATTTAACTATAATTTGTATAATCATCGATTCATGATGGATCTGGAATAAATGCAGATAAAAAAGAACCGACAGAAAAAATCCTAACAAATCAATATTTTTCGTTGCATATAACAGACATCTAGATACGATGATTCGTCTTCGAACTTCAATACATCGCATGCAGTACTGACACATACGAAACAGAGGCCTTTATGATCTAGAAAAATCATATTAAACGATAAAAAATAAACTTAAATAAAGTACTGATCAATTAAGTGCTTTTACAAATATATTTTTTCATCAAGCGCATTAAAGTCATCTTATAAAATCAGGTAATAATTATAAAGTGTTTTTTTTCTGAGTAATGTGAGTGTTGTTCAATCAACGTAAATAGAATTTTAGTACAATTCACACAGTGAATAAATTCATACAGAAATCTTACGCTCGTGAATGCCTCTAGCGACAAGTCCATAATCTTTCCGGCTGTGATAGTAAGCCTCCTTTGCGATCTCAACATTATAAGCAGGATGAGTTTGCTCTCGTTGGGATTCAAATTGTACCAAATTGACTTGTACGCTGCATCGCCGATCATTTTGCTCTGGAGAAGAGTGTCGCAAAGATGTCGTATTGTCAGTGAAATAAATGAATAAGAATTGGCATTAAAAATTCGTTCACATAAAAAAAAATAATAATAATTCGGGTGTAATGTGATCATAGAACCGAAACTATCATATATCCTTGAATTATCATAAATACGTTCTTGCTAAATAAATATAATATTGATCAAAACTTCATATTTAATATGCAAGAGAGCTATATCTTAAAAAAATTTGTATAAAACACATATATAACTTTTGCGAATGCATCATAATATATTCACATTGAAAACAAAAGAAGATTTAACTCTTCGCTTAAACAATTGTGCGTTTCTCATAAAGCAAAAATGATTGCCATTATCGGAAATCATTAGATAATGGTTGCCGAATTGCGTAAATCACACTGCGAGATCTCTATAATGTGAATCAAGCGCTTCGATTGTGCGTTCCGACCTTGGCACTGAGGTATTCCCCGGAAAAGCAGAAGATAAACGCCTCTACCGTAACAGCCATGTAAAACACTATAGCTTTCATCAACGCCGAGCTATCGACCGAATCGGAGTCTTCCATCGTGCCAATCGACTGTAACATCGAACGCAGATATAAATCGCGTCCCCGCACTTTCCACTTTGGCGAATGTTTACTCACTGTTACGATCATAAATCCTAAGCAGCAGGTCACCAGAGTGCTCGACATGAATTGTATTAATGCGATGTAACAAAAAATTTTTTCGATCTTATTCGAGAAGATAATAATTTTTTGATGCTTGCCGATCAGTTCCTTCGTGATGGCGACGGCTAGACGATGATCGTTCTTTTCGGGAGAGATTTCCTCCAATGCGTCGCACAAAATATCTATTTGACCGCTCGTATGAAGGATCTGAAAGCACATATTCCCTAAAAACGTGTGTTGTAAATATTTTTTAATTACAATGATTAATATATATTATTAAACGAAATGCATACTATAACATACGAAAGACATCTTATGATTTTGGATCTTTAAAACAAGAAGAAAAGTTTATAAACAAGTTAATTCGATTTTATCTTGTTTCAAAAATATAGCAATTATTAGAATAGTCCTCAGTTCTAATTATATAATCTAATTGTAAATTACACAAAACATTTGTTCAGAAATGTTTTTCGTATTAGCTGATAATTGCATTCTATACGTTAAGAAAAATTCTGTCTCAGGAAAAACTGCGTAATAGAACACATGTTTACGCGAACTCCTTTCCTTTAATTTGAGATTCTGAAGAAGCTTCCACATGTTGCAAAGGTTAATTAAAGCGAATGCGAAACTAGAAGAAAACAATCTCCTTTCCACTAGCAAAGAACGGACAGAGTACTTGTCAGTGCTCTACGATAATGGACACCCGGTGTTCTCATTCTCCCTCATTTGTATACAGAATGAAAATACCGTTGCCATGTAGAATACAGTGATCCCACACGATATCGTTCGCTTATGTACAGGAAAAATAGCCTAGAAATATTGAGAGAGAATGTTTTTCCCCGCAGATGCCACTCACTAACGTGACGATCAGCGAGTTCAGTATGCCGGTTACTGCGGAAGATGCCAACTGATGGAGGAACTCCACACACATAACGAGCTCGTAAAACGGCGACTCGTTGCACTCGAACGGTAGCTGCATCTTCAGCGTGAACTCGCGTTCCGGTGTCTCGGCCGTGTCGTCGTTGTGGGACACGAGAACGCCGATGCCGTAGGAAAACGCTCCCACCGAGTGAAGCCCGATGATCACGTTAGAGAAGTACCGCGACAGATTGGCCTTGCTCATCATGGTACGCACGTCGCCGGTGGCAGCTTCCCTCCAATCTGTAGCCATCGCAGCTAGGGCGTCGTAAAATATACTGCGGCAGTTTACTCTATCCGGTATATGGATGAATGATTCGCACTGAGATGGAAACAACTAGGTCCCGCGAAATAACACATCCTTTCAGAGCGCATTTGATAACATAGCTACACAATTCTTTGTGTAAAATCGAATATAAACTATACTTGTTATTAAAATATATTGTGATACTTGTATCACCTAACAAAACAAAAGCTGGACAACATTAAAGATCTTTTTGTCATCATAATTAGGATTTCATAATAGTAAATTCATAATATTTTATTGGAATTTTTCGTAATAATTGAGTTTAAACAAATCTGTGCAGATAAACTGGCGATCTCAGTTTCGACCGAAAAATGTTCTCTTACCGACTATTCAACCATAAAATAATCAATTTCAGTAACATCACGGTGTACTCCATGGTGACGCTTAAACCATCCATCAGATGCGACAGATCGTCATTCCCGAAGTGAATAATAATCCACCAGTACTGACAAGTTTGTATTATGCCTGTGGTCAGTATCCAAGCAGCCCGAAATAACAACGCGTACGGCGCGTCCGGCCAAATTCCGACGATTCGAAGACCGATTTGCACCGAAAGGGCGACGGTGCTCGTGGGCGTCATTTTATCGCGTCGTAACACCATACAATTTGTGCTAAAATACACCTATTACGCCAGGTTTGGTCTAAAGTTCGACACCCAAATTATCCAAAATACGCCGTACTTGTGACTTTGTTAAGCGCCGTAAAGCCACGGATTATAGCGTCAATAGGCTGCGTACAGCTCTAAAACAACTCTAGACCAGCGAGTCGAGCACGCAAGGGCCGAGAACTAAACGCAGCCATAGGAAGGTAATCACCGATCAATTACAGCCGACCGGGAACGAGAGTTATGGTGCTGTACGTGAGGCGGAGGGAATTAAAGTTGCAACAATCGAGCGATGATTACGAAGAGTTGTACGATCGAGGTATACAATTTTGTCTTATTGTATCGTAAAAAATGTCGAGAGGCGAATTAGTTGCTTGAAAAATGCAAAAGGCGGCTTTTTTACCCAGGCTTTGCGTGGGCAAGCGCGAATCCAGAATAATGACGACAGATTTTCCGAGAAAAATAGAGAAATATGGTGGAAAAGACATGGATCATGCGCGCCTAGGTGTTTTCAAGTGCATGCAGTATGATGGCAACTAGCGGTGATTTCTTGTGGAAGTGCCAAATATCACGAATTGCGAGTTTCATATTTTCATAATAATATTAACAATTTTTAAATAAATGTTGAGCTTTCCTTAATTAAAATATTAAATCGCCAAATTTTTGATTATTTTGAAAAATTCTCTATATAATATTCATTATATACATTCTTATTTTTTGTATTGTTCTCAGATATTTCACTCAACAAATCAAGAACAGAAACAATAAAAAAGCTGCTTTTTATGCTGAAGCAATGTTACAAGCGTAGAAGCATAATAAAATTCTACTAACTAAATAATTTCTTTGTATGCTACAAGATCAGGTAGAATATCATATTGAAAGAGAAAATCTAATGAATAACTAGAAAATGTAAATGAATAATTTTCGATATTGTCACCGTACCTGCGATGTTATTAAATTATTTAATATGGTCAATTTATAGTAATAAATAAATAATGCGTCAATTTTTATAATTAACAGCGTGTATATATACAATTCTAAGTTTTATCGGCATCAGTACATTGCATATAAAACTGATATATACGATGCGGAGGCTTTCAAGCTCTGAAAAATTAAATGGCATGCAATAAATTTTAATTCACCGTGTAAGTGCATCGCGCGCGATAAAATAAAACAGTTTTATGATTACAAACAATGTGAACGATATAAATCACATTTAGTTATTGCTTCTACAATGATTACAATGTAAAATAACTTAAAATGTGATATGTTATTAATTATACTGTCCTTAAACTCTATTGAAAATTATATATGAATTTAATTAATAATTCTTTCATAGTCGCACATTTAGTACTAAACACGTCTGGCGAGTTTTGATAATTTCGCACAAATAGTACATTATAAGATATAAATCTTAATATTAAATTATATTTAAAACATTTCAGATATTAAGTATAAAATTATTCTTAACGCCAACAATCACGAAAACGACAATCTATTATCAATGTATATATAATAATATGTTTAAAGGATCGACAATTTTATTGTTGCTGAAAAAATCTTACGGTTGTGAATCCTTCCAGGGATAAATCCATGAACTTCCCCGCGCTGATCGTCAGTCGTTTTTGCGATCTCATTATCACTAACAGCAGAGTACGGCAATCCCGAGGCTTGAAAGTATACCAAAGTGATTCATATGCCGCATCGCCGACCATTTTGCTCTAGAATGCAAATGAGAGACAGATGCGTGGAAAAACGAGACGTCGCCCTTGGCGCACACAGTGCTTCATTTCTACGTGAGTATCGGACTTTTTTATACCAGCAACACGACGTAGTAATTTTTTAACAGTCCAAAGTTGGAAAAATTTCTAACAGATGATTTGAGATACTCACTTTATTGCTAAGATATTCACCGGCGAAACAGAAGATAAATGCCTCCAGAGTGATGGCTATGTAGAAAAACACGGTTTTTACTAACATCCTGATGCCTTCGTCTGTACCTAACGACTATAAATCAGAGAGAGATTCAAGAAGAACGTTGATGACTATAGGCAGAGGCCTCAGACACGTGGCGTGCGGACGGGAAGCGGTCAGTTCCCCCCATCGCGCAGCCCGCAAGGGCCTTATGATAGAGGTAGTGTAAACGAAGGTATATCCTTTCACTTTTGTAGCTTTTCAGCTGAGAAATAACTCTTCGCTTAACAGGCAGCGTTATACCAACACGTTAGAAGAGAGAACGCTAATGCACCAACAAATAAATCTTTTTATTTGCGCACAAATAAAACTTCCGCGCTTGTGGATAAGTGGCGAAAATTTTCGTGCCTGCGTAAATATGTACGTCTGAGACCACTGCTGTAAGATAACAAATAATATCCAAAACGCAAGTTTATATAAAAAAAAAAAGAAATAGCAGTGTCTAAAAATATGAATAAAAATTGTAAATATTATTTGTTTTTTTATTAAATGTAAAGTTAAATAGTTTTAGTTAGCTTGTTAAAATTCAAAGTGTGTATATAATTATATGAATAAATTCGGATGATGTTTACGCACGCGCTATAATTTTTTGTAAAGCACAATTAGTTAATGCGATGTCAAATTTTTAACATAAATATTTTTAACATTTTTCATAAAATTTCAAACATGTTTACAGGATGTTTACTGATCAGATACTCACAGTTACTATGAGGAATCCGATGCAACATATGATCAGCGTATTCGAGAAAAATTGCATCAGTGCGATGTGACTGAAGAGACTCTCGATGTTCTCCGAGAAAGAAATAATTTTTTGGTGTTTATTGATTAAGGATTTCATAATAGCAGTGGATAAATCGCGCTCATTATCCGTAGGGCAGATTTTTTCCAACTGCTGATGCATAATATCTATTTGTCCACCAATATGCAGCATCTAAATATTATAATAATTATGTAGTTATAAAACAGCTAAGAGACAAATGCATATTTAAAAAAAAAACAAGAACAAAAAATGTAAATATAAAAAAACATGTTAAAAATAATCTTTTATTTTCTATATTAAAAGCGTTTCAATTTTTTAAAATAAAAATGTATATTAAAACAGCATAAATGTATCCGTTGATCACAAACATCAAACAAAAGAAGTAAAAAACAATGAAAACAAGCGAAAACAACCGAGTGTTAGAAAACAAAAATTACCACGTCACTTTGAAATTTGTTATTAAGTTTAGTGTATTCAAATTTTCAATGTTTTACTATGCACCCAGTAATTCGCTACATTTACTATTCCTTTTAGTAGACCAAATAATTTGATTCTCGCGAGCTAAACATGAATGTTATTTGCGAATGAATAAGTATTCATATAAATTTATAATTGTTAGATAAGACTCATCTGTATTTTATAACCGATTTGCACTTTAAAGCGTTTTGTACTTTAAACATATATGGATATGTCAAAAATGTTTGCATTATGCATAAATATCAACGGCGTGTCAAGCGTAGAAAATCCATTTTTTACGCATGTCGCTACGTCAATTTTCTGCCGAATTTATAACGTTTCGAAAATCCGACGAGCGTGCACGCTATTTATGAATGAACGAGGCGTGGGTGTATACGTGTATTTTTGTGCCGCGCGTAAGCTATTGCGTAATTATTGCACTACTAGGATCACGCTGTGATCATGATTCAGCTGACCAGCAGTAGTAAGCTCAGCGAGGATCAGCGAGGGTGAACGAGGGTGAACGAGGGTGAGTGAGGGTGAGCGAGAGTGAGCGAGAGTGAGCGAGAGTGAGGGAGGGTGAGCGAGGGCGAGCGAGGATTGCGTGCACTGTCGGGAGGCTCCGTCTTATATCGGGATCACTCGGAATATAATCAATACAAATCGATAAGCATGCTTAAGCGATTGATAAGCCTTGATATTTTATTTAAAAAATTACAAGACAGATTGACATAAATTTAATTTGAAAGCTACGACTCGTGCGCTTTTGATAAACCGAGATTTATCTCGATTAAATGATTTGAGAGATATTATCAATTGATTGCAAAAATAAAATAAATCTTTTAGTATAGCACATTGAAGCTAAAAACAATTTCTATTAGTCGACGCGTTGAATACTGTGTTCGCACTATGTATCGTGTTGTTCAGTTTTCTTTTTATTTCATGTATATTTTATTTGTTTTTTTAAGCTAGTGTTTTTTTTACGTGCATTGCGCATATATTGCGATTTAAATATCGATGCAATACCGTTGTTCTTTTGTAAATTATTTCAACATTCAGCTTAAAATTTAATTCGATTGAAGTGCACGCTTGGCTAATTTTTGGTTGATATTCTTGTTATTTTGTAAAAAAAAATAAAGCATTAGTTTATTTAATTGCTAGTAGCTTAATTTTTATATTTGATGTAATGTTTTTTTTCTAAAATTCTCTTTCATGAGGCGTTAATTAGGAAAAAAAGAAAAATGTTTAAATACATTTTCCTTTAAAATCACGTATCATACGCACACATATAAAAATGAGCTTTATTTATCATATCTTTTCATAGAGATGTCTGTTAATTTAACGTTAATAAATACCGCACTCTCGCGTCCTGTGCTCGTGTTTTTATGTTAGCGTATAGGAACAATATAATAAAACGTTATAAAATTATAAAAATCATATCACAAGTAAAAATATGCAATTTAAATTTACACGGTAAAGAAAGTCATAAACACTATTGATAAGAACTTACCAGCGTAACGATTAATGCGTCGAGCATACCTATGGAGGAGGCAACCGCCATTAGATGAACGAATTGCACGCATATCACGATCTCATAAATCGGCGATTCGCAGAAAACGAAAGGCAATTCCATCTTTATAAGCAGCTCACGACAATCGTCGCCAGCCTGCCTGCGAAAACTGACGCTCGCGGTGCTGTAAAGTAACACCGCCGTCGAGTAAACGCCGATGATCAATTTCGAACAACGGTGCGCGATGATCCCTTTGTTGATCATGGCCTGCATGCTGGAGTACTCGTACCAGTCCTCGGACATCGCAGTCAGGATACTGATGAATATTCTGCAATGCAAGACTTCGCAACGTGTCGCAACACCGATGCACACTCTATATTCGCAAGGTACCGCGCAAAAGATACCAATTCGCAAAAGGAAACACGTTGATTGCCAAGTTCGTTTTTGCTGCTTTTTTTTCATTATCAAAAATGAAATTTCTGGTTCTTAAACTCTAGATTACGATGTATGTATTACTATTTTGCAGCTTAAATTGTAACATTTATGTAATATTTCTACTTCATAAAATATAAAAATGACAAAAACTAGATATTGTAAAATGTAGAGTATTTTACAGAAACAATAACTTCGCTCGGCAATCAACGTAACACACAACGTTTCTTAAGATTAATGAAAACTCACAGGAAAGAAATGCATACCGGTTATTAACCCACAGGACAATCAGCTTGAAAAAGAGCAGACTGTACGGCAAGGTGGTGCTTAAGCCGTCTATCAGATTGGGCAGCTCCTTCGTGCTGAAGTGCGTCAGGAGATAGTGATACTGGAAGATCAATCCTGTTCCCATCACCGCCGACCAGATTAGCCTGAAGAAGATACAGGAATTCGGCCATATCCCGGTAAGACGGAGACCGATTTCGACCGGACGACTGACGGTGCTGATCGGTATCATCGCAAAATTCGCTTCGTCGACGGACCGAACGAACTGAGCAAACGTTCCTGACAAAGCTTTGTGCGTGACGGCTGCACGTTCGCCGGAGGAAACGCTTCGAAATATTAACATAAAGATCGGATGCGACCCCACCTTGACATCCGCCGACCAATCGCAAACGCTAACCATGTATTTTCGTCATGTTCTTAAGAATGCAGGAAAAAGTTGCAACGATCGAACGATGATTGCAGGCTTCGAACGAGTGCTACTTGGTGACTTCAGGAAACAGGAAAACCGCCTCTTGCTGTTATTGTGGGTGATTTACTTTAAAAATGCAAGATAATGGGGAAAAGTGCGGTGCACCAGTACAACAGTGCGAAAATCGCCAGACTGTCCAGAAAAGTTTCCGAACAAAGAATAATGGAAGATCATTGTTCGTGAAAGATCGCTCGAAATGCATAAAGAAGCAGGCAAAGGCAGACAAAATAGCTTCCGAAATGTATATAATTTCGAATTACACGTGCACGATGTTATATTTTTAAAGTGATTTTGCATCAAAATAGTCAAAGGTAGCTTATAATATTTCAGCACAAGCTGACATATTTGTGTGTATACACAAATTTTAATATCTATATCTACTTGGTGGGCAAGAAATTTTAATAAGCGCTTTAATGAAATTTCGTACGATGCAAAAAGTAAATACAGCAAGGTAAATGTCACATATTATTAAACCACGAAAATGTATAACATGCATATCTTTGCACTCATTTTATTCTCGAAATTTATAAAGAAAGAAAAAAAAATCGGAATGTGTGTGAAATAGAATGAAAATAAAATATTCATATGTGTGACTTATACGTATAAAATATGTTAATAAGCGAATTTTGCAACTGTCAATCTTTTTTGCTGATTAAGACATTGCAAGCAGCACTGACACGTAAGATGCCGAAGCTCTTAAAATCTGAAACACAATATTGTTATATATCGATACGAATATATATTCTACATCTAAAAATTACAGTTATTTAATATCTTACACTCGCAAAAACTTGTAAGGACAGATCGTTAAATTTACCGATTGTTAAAGTCAATCGTTTCTGTGATCTCAACATTAAAATCAATAAATTTCGACTTTTGCTGGGTTCCGCGTTGTACCAAAAAGCCTCGTAAGCTGCATTCGCGATCGATTTACTCTACAAGAAAAAGAAAAACTAAAAAATATTATTACGTATTTATGCACAAATCTGTGAGAAAAATCCTCTTCCTTGAGATTACATTACTGTGTTGACAAACTCATGCAGGAAAAAAATAATCCTTTCCAAAGTAAATGTTATCAATCCTTATACGAATATATTTATGACAAGAAATCAATTTAAACCTTATTACTAAGATATTCGCCAGCAAAGCAAAAGATGAATGCTTCCAAAGTAATAGCAGTGTAAAAGAACAGAGACTTCAACAGCATAATGAATCCCTGATTTCCATCGATCGACTAGTAAAACGTAGAAAAAGTTATTGTTACAATAAGAGGATCAATTAATTCGTACGGTTTTCACAGAATATTCAAAAATAACTCACTGTTACAATTACGAATGCTATACAACATATGACGAGTGTGTTCGTAAGAAACTGCATTAGTGCAATGTAAGAGAATAGATTCTCAATATTATCCGACAACGCAATAAGATTTTGATGTCTGCGAATGATTGCGCCTGTTGCTTTTCTGTACGATTTATGCTCACACTTGTCTGAAGAGTAGAGTTCGAACAAACCTTGACTCACAATGTCTACCTGGCCGCTTACGTGCAGTATCTAAAACCGCGATGCTATATTTTTATTTTCAAATAATGTGAAAGAAGGAGTTCAAAATCATTGTTTATGCTACTATGACATTAATACAAATGTAGATAACGTTTATCCAAATAAATGAAAAATTTACCAGCGTGACGATCAGCGCGTCTAGCATCCCAATCACCAAGGCGTGTCCTAACAGTTGAACAAACTGAACGAACATAACGATTTCGTAAACAGGAGAGAATTCGTAAACGAAGGGGAACTTCATCTTAAGAAAGAGCTGCTGCCCTTCTTTTCCGAGCTCGTCGGAAACAATGCTATTAAATTCCATGATGACAGAGATGTAAACCACAACGGCCATGCAATACACCCCGATAATCAACATCGAGCAACGACGCGAGAGAATCGCTTTATTCGTCATAGTGCACACGTTAAAAGCGATAGCGCTGCAGTTGTGCCAATCCCGCGACATCGATGTTAAGATATCGTTAAATAATCTGAAAACATTATTTTCACAACACATCGCGCAAACTAAATCAAATTGGATAATTATTGAATTACAAATTATTATAAAAATTAACTCTACACTCTATTCGTACAATCAAGTTTTTAAATTTTCTACCTTATTTTTCTATCGACAAAATAATGCAAAAAATGTTTACTGATAAATAAATATAGAACACACTATATATATATAAAACACAATTTCTTACTTCTGATTTAGCCAGATGAAAATTAGCTTCAAGCAAAGCAAGCTGTAAGGCAGCGTGGTGCTCACGCTATCGACTAGATTTGAAAAATCATTAGTTTGGATGCAGCCGATGATGTATCTGAATTGAAACGTTTGAGCAAGGCCTAAAGAGACCGTCCAAAAGATACGGTATAAGTTGCTGCACGGGGTTCCTGGCCAAACACCAATGACTCGCAGCCCGAATTCCACTTGAGGGCTCACGGTAGTCATAAAACTCATTTTGCGTAAACTTCTGATTACCAGGATGACTTCTCGGGCACGTTTGACAAAATAAATTGCCTTAATGCCGCCCTTAATCGAAGCCAAAAGTTACCACATTGTTACCAGTTTGATGCGACGGAGAAATCTCGCCACGCAACGTCGAATAATCTTCAAGGATTCTGAAGGGGTCGTCGTCCAAACGGCCAACCCTCCGGTGGTCGTTGACCGAATGGAATAATTCATCACACACACATGGTATATTATAGAGGAAATTTCTCTTGCAACTATATGATTTCAGGTTCCGAAGAGAAAAAGATGTTAAGGCAATAAGTTTTGCGTTCTTTCACGTCGAGTGTCACCGGGGGTGCAATCACGACGTTATTTGCTTTAAAAATGCAAAGGAGTTAGATACGCTTGTGCACCATGGTAAGCTTGTACACTACAGTTACAATCGGAAACAAAATGGATAGCTCGCCCAAGGGAGGGAGTTGAGTCCCCGACGCGACCGATGCGCGAAACGCAACGCAGTGTTCTGTGTTCGCGACTAGTGTTAAGAGAATTTTGTTTTTTCATACTTACAATTAGTGTTGTGTGTCTAAAAAAATATCAATTATATATATTTCATAAATATTAATTTACAGATGTATCTCTCTCTCGCTATTCAAGAATATAAGAGCTGATTAGTGCATACATATCTGTTTGTCAATGTGTATGTCACCGAATAATTTTATTATAAACGGAAATCAGTTTCCTGAATTTTTATTAATTGATGGATTCTCCTGAAAACGAAATGTGTAAAGGTACATTAAAAGATATCCTTGCACAAATATTTGATTTATAATTATTTCTATTTTAGTTAAGATCATTTCTCAAAGCATTCATTGCACTGCAATGAATTAATTGTCAGACAACGGTTAATGTTTGTAGAAGATTTTGACGGTTTTGCGTTTCAATACATGGCATGTAGCACCGAAACGTAAGACGCAGAAGCCTTTAGAATCTGCGAGAAAAAGATATAATTTAAATTTTATTAACAATGTGCAATTTTATTGCTTAAGTCACGCTATTGCAATCACGTAAAATGAATTAATAAAAAATAGATAATATTCGTAACATTTAAGTCCTGCATTTATAATGTATGACTGTCGGATAGAAAGAAAACGAAAATCGCAAGTCTCTTACGCTTGTAAAACCCTCCAGAGATAAATCCATGAATTTTCCAGCTGTCATTGTTAATTGCCTCTGAGACCTCACCATAAGTAATAATAAGATTTTACTCTCACTAGGATTTAATTTATACCAAAGTGAATCATACGCGGCCTGACTTATAGTCTTACTCTGAAATAGTTTCAACAATGAATACGAAATCTGCATAGTAATAAATGCGACAGCTTGATATTCTCGCATAAATTCGACCATTTATTCCTTGGCCCATTCATATCAATGTGATTCCCGTTAGACAAATCGCACAGAAATGTGTTCACTAAATACGCGCTGACAAATTACGCCTCTTTCTTACCTTCGAGCTCAGGTATTCGCCGGTGAAGCAAAGTATAAACGCTTCTACGTTCACGACGACGTAATAAGGGATGACCTTTAGCAACACAGTATTCGCATCGACGGAATCCAGCGACTACGATTTAGAGACGGGTTCCTTCGAACAAATTGCAAAATGCTGTTCGGAAGGAAACGTATCGGATTACTCACGGTTACGATTACAAATCCTAGGAAGCAAATAACGAACGTATTTGAGAGAAACTGCATTAGCGCCATGTAACAGCATACATTCTCGATACTGTCCGCGAAGGCAATAATCCTTTGATGCCTGTGCACGACGCCTCTTAACGCGGCAGTACGCGAATCCCGTTTGTCGTCGGCCACCGGAATTTCCAACAATTCGTGACACATTATGTCGATTTGGCCGGCAATGTGGAGTATCTAAAAGCGTGATCCAGAATTGTCCCGGAGACTCTCGGAATATACGCCTTATCGACGATTTAGTGCTGTATAGTGTTAAGTCTAGTAAAATTAATACAAAATAAATTTTTCTACAGATAAGTAAAACGGTGACTAAAAACTTGGGTTTTTTTTTCTTTTTCAAGGAGAATTTCAACGTTTTTCGAGTGATGAATCAACTTACTAACGTCACGATGAAAGCGTTCAGCATTCCCGCCATAACTGCCGACGTGTATTGCAGAAGGAATTGCATGATCATGACAATTTCATAAACCGGCGACACAGTGTACTCAAACGGCAGTTGCATTTTAACAATAAGCTGCCGTTCTTCGACAGGTTGCTCAGAGCCCGCGCTCTTTTGAGCCAACATGTTACTCACCCCTATTAAAACCAGACACGCCGTATACATGCCGATGGTGCATTTCGAAATTCGATGAGACAAAATCGCTTTGCTTATCATTGCCTGCGTCTTCGAATAAGTGGACGCGCATTCGTTCCAGTCTTCAGCCATTGCCGCAAAAATGTTATAAACAATGCTGACAAGACGATATAAATACGTAAATTATCAATATTCAAAATAAAGCAACAAAAAAAGTTTCCAAAGAGATCAAATCAATCTTGAAAAAAAAAAATGGATTCCATTTCCTATTAGCGTAAATATGATATTTAAGAAAACCTGTCGTAATATAAAGTGCTTAAACACTTTACAATCAAGCATCTACGTCTCTATTCTCATTTTGCAATTAGCAATATCGCTAACGAATCTTACCGTCCGTTTAACCAAAGGATGTTCAATTTCAGGAACAGCAGACTATTCGACAAACACAGGCTGAGAGAGTCCAGGATATCCGGCAGAGTGTCGGAACCGATGTGACTGAAGAGGTACCAATATTGAAAGAGTTGCGAAGTGGCCATCGCCATTCCCCAAGCGACGCGCTGCAGGAATTTGCACGAGGAATCCGGCCAAACGCCGATCAGCCGCAAAGTGAATTCCATCGGACCGCCGATAGTACTGGTAGGTATCATTCTCCCTTCCCTCTTTCTGTACCTCTCGACAAATTGATTGATTCCGACAATTGCGCTGCAGCCGCAGGCATGCGAAACCGTCGCCGGTGTAATTCGCAGTTTTATCACGCGTCCGCCGAAAAAAAAGTTGGACCTTTCCTGATTAAGCGCGACTAATCCGTAAGTCACGTGTACTCCCGGCCACACTGAATGTCAGGTAGGATCTTACGGTTAGCTGAACGCCATGCTATGCCGTAAAAACTTTCCACGAGGGCTAGTTGATCTCATAGAGGCAGCAAATAAAGTACTGTTTGCGCGGGACTGCCAACTGCAATTACTGACTGACGACCATTACACGAGGCGCACGTAAATATATAACGACCGCTTGACGATCGCCGGAGAAAGGGACTATCGAAGGGAAAAGGTAGGGACTGATTGTGCGTATTTCATCGAGTTTTACTTTGCTCGATGCGATCACAAGACGTTTGCTTTAAAAATACACGGCTATAATCTGTCAAATCGCTCTACGACAATCATGCAATCGGGTAATCACGTTAAAATATAGTCATTTATGGATAATGAAGTATAATGGCGCACCATTCGCCATTTTATTTTCATGGCGTCGGATCAGTCGGATTCGTATAATGTTCAAGCAATGTTTGGTGTATTATTTCATTTAGATTAATATTTTTATTACATTTCTAATATAGTTAAAAAATGTAAATTTTATAATCTGTGTTCACATGTAAAACGTGTCCTAAAACTTTTCAGATGTCCTTTTTATAGCAGATTTTCGAAAGAATTTGGAATTGATTCTTCCTGAGCCTCTCGTGACCCGATAGTTTCCGATTGTACAAAAAGAGATTTTTTAAATTAAAAAGTTTTAGAGAAACAAACAAATAACAAAGCCATATTCTTCAATTAATTTGGATTTAGTTTTAATAAAAGTTCAACAATAAATAATGACTTCCTTGAATATTTTTCGCCGAGGAAAATTCGACTTCAAATTGGCCAGGAAATTTATTATTAAAAAAAACACGTGCGCGAACAAATATGTATAGAAATATGTTTCTACGCGAATGTGAAAGCGATATGAAAAACCGTCGAAGAAAACAACTTTTTCGAGATTATTCCCTCGGTTTTCATCAAAAATAGCTATGGTGGGTAAATAAACATTGTTGTGCGCGCATGAATTCACACCCGCGAGAATTCTAGCACCTCCGGTCGGCTTCCGCGATGATATAACATGACAATTTTACAACGCACATGCGGCAATAGCGCGGCAGCCGTTATACCTCCGCTCCTAAAGTTACATAGCGTAATAAATTTTAACCGTATCAACGGCAGTGGATCTGCCGCTTCCCGACGAACGCAGATGTAAGATTCGCGTATATTTCATATAAATGTATATATATCACTGCCGTTTTGAGGAGGAATGTATCGCGCGAAACAATTCCTTCCGAATAGCGCACTGGTGAATGTCATCTCTCGTCTCCCTCCGTTTACGTCTCCTGACTTTCCGCGTTTGAAAATAAGAGGAAACTTGGAAACAGAACCGGTGTATCGTAAAACTTGAATGTTGCGGGAATTCTCTCAGTGAAAACCAGCTTGATTCCGAGCGCGGTGAAAAATTGCGATATCTTCCGCGCTGCTATGTTCCTGCCGTATTTTGTAAACCAATGGCCGGCTCTATCGCTTGATATTATTAAATTCACTTTTCGAGAAGATATCTTACATAAGATAAATTGCGGATCGATGTAGCGATTTGCGCTCT